GTCAATCCTACGCACGGCGTTATACATGAGGCCCCAGAGCACACACTCTCTTGTTTATTGTAGCTAATGTTGTCATCCTCAACAGAGAGCAGGCCGATGGGAAACTAGGCCTCTCATACAGCAGTGGGAAGATGTGTCAGGTCACATTAGCTCCAGCAATAATGCACACTCACAGAAACACACGCACATGTGGACATGCATAAACGGTGCTATAATGTACTATTCTCTCGTACTGTCACACACGGACACATAGACACACAGATAAACATGTAGGAACACACACTCAGACATAACCAATAGGAAACCAAGATGTATTTTCTGCCTGTTTTCTTTTTTCTAAGATGAAGCTTAGGCTCTATTACTTTCAAACCACAGCTGTAAGCATTTATATAATCTACAACCTAACCATGTTGTATCTCTGTCAAGAACGTTATGTTAACAGTTTGGTTTCTCTTTTTCTCAGCAGGGTTAAGGTGAAACTGCTCATTTCAAAGAAACTTGGTGCAAGGGTGTAGCATGGGCCAGGAACCCATTGTGATTAGGAGTGGATCTGAATCACAGGAAACATACATGTGTTATTGGACTTTTGGCAATAGCCTTGGGATAAGTCTGTGTTCTGTGAGGGCCCTTTATAGTTTATCTTATCATTTTGGACACACTTGAAAAGATGTCCCATGTTGCTCACCCAGTTTGTGGTTGTCGTCTGTTCCAGGTGAGCCAGAGAGAGATGGGTGAGAAGGGGGACCCACGCGGGTGAAGCCCTCTGCTCCACTGGGACCCGGCCCATCAGAGGAGGGCCCATGGGCGACTGAGGCAGGGCCTGACTTACGGGCAGGGATGGCTGTCAAGAAAATATACACTGACATTTATAGATAGAAAGTTGAGCAGATTTGTATTTTTATAGTGTTCTGTGAACTAAAAACAATTGTGTCAAATCCTGTTGTTTTTGGAACATACATTGAAACTTCTGTTGAGTGTATTGGTTTACTCTTTTTTCAGATCTCTTTCTGTTCCACTCAGTTTCATGTCTTTACCTGGAGGCGGGAGGTAGCCATGGAAGAGAACGCTACCACAAGAAGAGCGGTCCAGTTCCTCACACAGCAGCAGACGCCGTACTACACACACACACAAATACACACACATAACATTCCATGAGCCCCTGATGACCAGAGAAGCTTATTACTTATTATTAATACTTGTGTAATTCCTGCAAAACATACAAATCAAAACACTTGTAATGCTTGAAATAATGCAATGCATGATTATATTAAATAATGCGGAATTCATGGATTTTAAACATCATACTCCAAGTTATTGTTATTCACGTTAATCATAAAGTTCATGACCTATAAAATACTGTTTTTGAGTTGAGGGCATTGTCTATGATTTAAATTCTATGTGATATTTTGCAGTGTATTGTATGTAATTCTGTTTATTTGATGATTTTAAGCAGGTGATCAGTTCACACAAAAGGTAACTTTCCCATTGAGGTTCAGACAGTGCAGAGAAGTTACAAAGACTGAAACAGGAAGTTTAACCACATGGAAACAACAGTTATAAGGTTTTGAGCCTGGTCAGGTGGCCTTTGAAGCCAAAACAACATTTTATGTTACACAGAAAAGTTTCCCTTGTAATACACCATTACATTATTTTTGTTTACTTTTACTACAGATGTTCAAATTGCACCACAAAAAGCCCAGCCGGTACACACTACCTGGTGATGTTGACATGTAGCGACCAAAAAGTTGGCCACAGAACAAACTTGATACAACACAGTAGCATTATGTTTGTGCTAAGGATAAGGCTGCTACCTCCATTTCCTCAACAAACAAAAGCTCTGTAAAGCAACACACCTAAAGGCGTTATCCCGTAAAACTCTGCTTCATGTCGCAGGACGCTGATGTTGACACCCCTACAGAGAAAAACACAGCAGAAGTATTAAGTGATACTGGTTACTACTTAAACATAATGTTTTGTTGAAGTAAACATTTAGTGAAATATCTGAATATTCTGATATCTTCTTACCGCAGGTCCAATTCTTTGGTTCTTAGGAAATTCAGAATTGGTGCAAAAGCTGTGGGGTCTCGGTCTATAAATATCTGTGGGTGGAGAAACATCCTTACTGACATTGAAATAATTTAAAAAGTGAATTTGTAGTTAAAAAAAAACATAATTTCACAATAGGAAAGGGGATTAAATGTGATGACATGAAATGTGTTATTTTATATGGTCTCAAACTGTACAACTTCTTAGCTTATCTTATTAAGCACACGTATAATATAAGGGTCACGCATCATATTTTTCAGCAGATAATGTCCTATCAGCTGGAAGCTTTTAGAGAATGATTGTATGTTGCCCGCAGAGACTGTCCTAGTTTTTTTTTCAATAAGGAGCAACAAAGGCTATACTTACAGCTCCAGTTTCATCCCGAAGAGTGGATATCCTTCCACTCAGCAAACTGGAAATTATACACACACACACACACACACACACACACACACACACACACACACACACACACACACACACACACACACACACACACACACACACACACACACACACACACATACACACACAGTACTCCAGTTAACCCTATGACTTGTCCTGTTTCACTTAGTTGCACACTGACTTTTACATGTTGACTCTATACTACAGATTAGTGCTGCATCAGCATGTCTGTAAGTGTGTATGAAGAATGTCTTCATATTAACTGTACACTGCAGACAGCTGGGGGCACAGAGACTGACAGGCAGGCAGGCAGACAGGTGCTCTGGCAGGCAGACAGGTGCTCTGGCAGGCAGACAGGTGCTCTGGCAGATAGACTGACAGACATATAGCACTACTTGGTCAGCTGTTGTCAAACTGTGAGCTCACTCCTGTGTTTGAGTTTGTTCCAATTGTGGTATTTGCCCAGCCCCTATCGGCTATTTCCCTTTAACAGTGGTTTCCCCCTCACACCTAAATAACTCACTATATATAAAGCGGACCACATTTGTAATCCCCTGACATTTACAATCACCAGAATGTTGGAAGTATGAAGCAAGACAGGGACGAGATAATGGAATATCAGTACTTAACATTAATTATGTAATACAAGGTTTGTTTTATCGGTTTGCATGAGCACGCTAGCACGCTAACTGAGCTTCGATCTGTTTTTGGTGAAACTCATACATGCCATAGCAATCTTGCAGTTTAATTAGCCTACTTTCAAGGGGTTGTCTAGACATGTTAAATGTTCTCAATTAAAATGTGTCAGGTTTACGCCTGCTTAAAATATGAACAGTATGTGTTAAAAATGTACTTATTGCAGAAGTCTGTCTGTATTTAGTTTTTTCCTTCTTTATTATACACAGCCAGATACTTCTGATAATTAATACTCTTAAACTGCACTCATGTAGCCAGTGTTTCAATTGCTTTTTATTTTATTTCTAACACTTCACAAAGAGTCAATTTTGTTTCATGCATCATCTGTTTTTGAAGAGAGTCCAATAAATCCACCTTGAGAAGAAAGAGTCTGGGATCCACATCAGAGTCTGTCTGGAGGTGCTGAACCTAAGATATAAAGACACAATTGCATAATCATTACAAACACTGCGAGAAGGAAAATGTAGGGTCAGTTCACTCTTTGGCATGACAATGTTAGATGGTAATGGCATGCCAGAAAAGGAATTGCCTTGTAGATGTACAGTAGCCTAAAGTCAGATTAAATGAGAGTGAATAGTGCATATATAATAAGGACATAACCTTGAATGCTGTATCTACTTCAGCTACAACCATGACTGCTTGACCATAAATATTGTAAATATCATCATACACGTAGGTAGTCAGAGCTCAATGTCCCAATGACGACCATCATCTGTCCTGTTGATGATTACCTTGTCCCACCGACATTTAGCTGAATGATCTCTCCCATCCCAGGCGTTAAGTTGATGCCATTCGTAGCCATGATGACCGAGCCACTGGGTTGTTGTACGGGAAAGTCACTGTTTCGTTATAATTGTTACTGTCACGACGACAGCTAGCTTGCTAACACTCCTCAGCCCAGCCGATGTCCCGTCTGTCCCCAGCCTCACAACCTCTCCTTCGTCCCACCTTCCATTAAATATAAACGATCTATACGGACAGCCTCGGTATCTTGAAGCCTCCGCATAGTGGGCGAGGGGAAACAGGGGGCCTTTTTATCCAAAAGGCAGCCACACAACAATTCCTTTATTTTCCAGCGAGCTAGTTTGCATCACTGCCTTGCATGTAAATCGTGGATAACATCTTGCGCAGAATATTAGCAACGTGAAACAGCTGTACAACCCGTATACAAGTTAGGCGAGAGCGTTCACCTCTGACAACTTCCGGTTTCACCTAAACGACAGATATTGAACCCCTATAAACTTATTTTGTTGGAAAAATGAATACTTAAAATAGGAATTCTGCATTAAATATAAGCGGTCAGTGGTTAGTGAAATCGCTTTGTTAGATATAGACACTTACATAGATGTAACAGTAGGCCCTTAGGCTAACTGCAACCTTCAAAGAGCATTATGGACGTGAACTATCTTGGTCGCATCAGACCCAAATGGACTTGAGAGCGCTTGATTTTAGTAAAATAACACTTGGACGGCAACTGTACTTAAAAGGGACAGAACACGTACTATATTCACTTTTCTTCTCTCCGGGGTTTTGTAGTGCACCAATTCAATTATATAATGGTTTAATACGTTGCGTTGCTAGAGTTAAAGCTTTTTAAAAAAGTATTATGTGGTCGACTTTACAGAATGTGATACACCTTTAAAGCATTGTTTGAATATAATAATAATAATAATAATATAGCACTACTAAAGGGAAACATTTACCCTGGTATTCAATGTAATTTTATAATTTCAACCTAATTTATTGTGCTTATGTTGGTGGTCTGGTGGGGGTAACTCTACACCGCTGCGTTTTCTTCACGCAAACAAGCGCTCCTTAACTCCGGCCCCGCCCCTCCCACTTCTGCTCAGAGAGAACTTGAAACCCAACAACATATTTTATGACGAACAAGCTAGCATTTTTGTCTTATGGCATCTTTTTTTACTGCTTTTCCATCAGTATGTAAACCAAGGCTATTTTATCCAAGGTAGTTTTCGGTTCCACGGTGAGTTTTTTTAAACTTTGGGCTAGCTATTTGTTTATTTACCTTTTTATTAGCATGTTAGCCGAGGGAAAAGTTAGCACATAACTGGTAGGCTGAACTTCTCCTAGCTAGCGTTGAACATTAGCATGAGCCTTCTGAAGCTAAATTAGCTACAACAGCTTGTCAGTTTTCACTAGTTAATGTTTAGTGTCCTGTAAACGCCAACTCTCTGACTCTAAGCTAGGTCACCAATACAATTCCCTTCTCAGTAGGTAACGTTAGGTTGGCTAGTTGGTAAAACACTAATGTACGTTAGAAGATATCAGTGGTGTAAAGTAGATTTACTCAAGTACTGTACTAATGTACAATTTGTAGGTACCTTAATTGAGTATTTACACGTTTTGCTACGTTGTACTTCTACCCCACTACAATTCAGAGGTACATATTGTACTTTTACTACACTACATATATTAAATACCTTTAGTTACTTCGTAAATTTGGATTAATGATGTGAAATATAATCAACACTTAAATTAGGCTTTGGTTACACCTGGAGTAAATTCATTAGCTACCCTGCCCTATACAAAGTCATTACAATAGGCTCTACTTTTACCAGGTTTGATAACATTTTAATGGGTCAATAACTATAATCAAAAGATATATATGTTATTCTGAAATGGGACAATCTGCATAATGAGTAACTTTACTTATGGTACTTTAAGTATATTTGCATGCTAATAGCTCTTTACTTTGACTTGATTAATATTTTTGAATTGCAGGACCTATACTTGTAACACAGTATAACTACACTCTGGTAGTTCTACTTGTACTTAAGTACAAGATCAGAGTACTTAAGGTATGATGAAATAATAATTTATTGTCAGATCAAGTCTGACCTTTGTCTTGCATCACAGCTGCAACATTTGCATCAACATCAAACGAGGACAAATATTAAGACACAACACAAGGAAAACAAACATTTATCAATCTCTGAAGAGAAAACATGCTCGAGACCCTCTAACTTACATTTGACCTGGGATTTAACTCTGTATTGAACGTACTTCTTCCACCTCTGAAAAATATTATTATAACGTTATAGCCCAATGATTTCAAATCTAAGCATGTCATTTGTTTAGAGCCCTCCCTCCTTGAGCTTTACCTCGTTTAAGCCAGGACAGAGAAGAACATGGATGTGTGACGAGCTCAAACAGAGAGGAGAAAGCAAGGACGAGGCTTCCTGTCATTCGCTGGGAGCTTAGGGAAGGAAAGGCTGCCAGCATTCAAGTTGTGTCATGATGTCGGAGGCCGAGGAGATGGGAGCTCCAGGCACAGAGGGAAACAAGCCAATTGTCACGACAGGACACATGCCTAGTAGTATTCAACAGGTAGAAGCATCTGTTGCTTCGCCCGTGGCCCCCATACAGCCCCACACCACCACTGCAACTGAGGATGATGATGAGAGTGAAGATGAGTCGGAAATCCTGGAGGAGAGTCCGTGTGGCCGCTGGCAGAAACGCAGAGAAGAGGTAAGGGCGGTCAGGAAGCTTCACTCTGATGGTTAAAGTGGAAATGATGGACAAAGTTTGAACTGTCCGACACAATCATTGATTCAAAAGATGACACATCACGTTTATCTGCTATCATCAAAAGGGAAGTACCAAAGTCCTGAAGCTTAGTAGTTGATTAGATCAATGGATGCAGGAATATTTTAAATGAAGATCATATCACTTTTTCAACATAAAAAGAACAACCTCCTTCTCCGACATCATTTTCAAATTGCTATATTTTTAAATATATTAATTTCGCACTATAGTCAAATATCTAGACATATTCAACATTATCTATTTAATAATATATTGATATTTTCTCCTCACAAATTGGTCTTTAGTGAAGAATATTGTTACGGAGATTTCCAAAACTCAATTATACCCGGTGGGAGTTATTTTCAAGCTTTGTGATTAGTTATAATATTCCGTATGTTTGGTACAAGCATCTCATCATCAAGTCAGCTCAAACCGGAAAAGAATAGCAGACACTGTTTTGCCATTCAACCGTTTCTGGGTCTTTCGTTTCAGTATTAAAATATATTGTCCCCTAAGCTATTCGTCACTTGTCCTGTAGGTGAACCAGCGTAATGTCCCAGGGATCGATGCTGCGTACCTGGCCATGGACACAGAGGAAGGGGTCGAGGTAGTGTGGAATGAAGTCATGATCTCAGAGAGGAAGAACTTCAAGCTGCTGGAGGTGAGGCCCACTGGTACAATAACGGAATCAAAAGGGTACAAGTATTGCTACGGTGTGGTGGGAAAGTGAGAAATCATTAATGATTACAGATGTTTAGCCTTAGTACTTCATTCACATATACAGGATCAAAAAAATGAATAAAGAATAACGAGGTAAAACGTATTCACTACAGTGTATACAAACACGTTCTTGTTCTAATGACGCAGCGTGATCTGTAATGTGGAGAAACCAGTGTTAAGTCATTTCAGTCAAATGTAATAGCTACACTGCCTTATAGAACCACCATGTCATTTTAATGCACTATAACATTGATATAATATTTTAAGTATCATACATTTAGACAGTCCTTAATATACTGTTGCATTAAATGGGCTCATCTAAAAAAAACTGAAAAAGTAACGAGTGGTAGGAATGTCTTTGACTTATCAAAGGAAGACATTCCTACCTTTTGTGAAAAGTATTTAAAAAATACTCCCCTCGTGTCATGCTGTTATAAGAAGGTACACCCTGTCCAGGTTAACGTAACCATGTGCAGGTTAATAGTGTTACATCATGTCTGGCTCTGTGTTGTATCGGGTTGCAGAAGCTTGAGCTAGGAAGTATTTAGCATTTTTCTTAAAGTATTTGTTGTATTGAATAATCGAATCATGTATGTTTTATTTGTGTTATCACTGCTATTGTGAGTTCACTGTTGTCACCCCTTGGCTTGCTAGGGAAACTACCAGAAGGTCAAAACTGTGAAAATGTGTACTTTGTTTACATAAATAGTTCTGCCAGATATACTACCATCTACCCATTGGTCAGGTCAAGTCAAAGCAGAATGTGTTTTGTTTTTTCATAGCAATATGACGTATTATTATACTTTAATATATTTTGTTTTCCCTATGTTTTAGGAGAAATTGAAAGCAGTATTTGATAACCTGATCAATTTGGAACATGCTAATATCGTCAAGTTTCACAAGTACTGGGCCGACAACAAGGAGAACCGAGCCAGGGTGAGTCTCACTCTCAGACCTGACAAACCAACAATTGTCAACATATGAATGTTATTGAATCATCCTTCTGTCTTCATTTGTCAAAAATTCAAACAAGTATTTCAGCATCTTTTTTATTTGAATTTGAATGATTTCTTCCGAAGCATTTCCCCCTCATTTCTTTCCTCTCTTTCAGGTGATTTTCATTACTGAATATATGTCATCAGGAAGCTTGAAGCAGTTTCTAAAAAAGACAAAGAAGAATCATAAAGCCATGAATGAAAAGGTACAAATTGGCTGTATGTAATGTTTCCCTAATAGAAGAATGGTGCCTGAAAGTCAGCATATCATGTGAAAAGTGACAGACCCTGTATCAGTAATATTGATAAGGTCATCTTTCCAAAGCTAGGACCAATCTGCCAGATGGCAAGAGAGAGAAAGCATTTACAAATACATTGTGTACCAGTTTAAGCAAAGTCAAATGACATGATGTGAGTCATTGTTACTCCATATTGGAAACCAACATGTGCGCGCTCTGATAAGATGTATGCTCCTACAGGCTTGGAAGAGATGGTGCACACAGATCCTGTCTGCGCTCAGGTTGGTTTCACCTTATTGTAGACATCCAGGACACATGTTTAGTATAAGAACAATGAACTTGTGTGTAGTCTGTATTTGTGAATGTTGTTTTTTCTTGACTGCAGTTACCTCCACTCATGTGACCCTCCCATCCTCCATGGCAACCTGACCTGTGACACCATCTTCATCCAACACAACGGGCTCATCAAGATCGGATCAGGTACACAGTTACGCAAGTTTCACTTGATGGTTCGGTAGTGATGGAGTCAGATGATACTGAATTATGGATTTAAAGACTGGACATTTCAGGGAAGTTCTGTTATTACACAGTGCTAGTTTTCGAGTCTCATCAGGCTTTGTAACTTAACCATCATTACAAATTCAGAACAACAAGTATCCTGCAAGTAAATTAGCTTCAACTAAACCAAACCATTAAGGTGCCGGTGCATTAGCTTTAATACGCCAACACATCTTGGGATCCAGTATTATGTGTCAAAAGTAATGAATACAACCCTTTTCTCATGTACCAAAAACAATTATGATACTCTTAAGACATTGGAGTTTTCATTGTGAGCCATTTTGTTGCATGCCTTGTTTTACATCTCAAGTAGACACTATTTTCAATAAGGATACCTTCTTGATGTTCTTTTGAGCTTAAATAAATAGGTCGATGTCGATGTCATTGTGGAATAAACTATTATTGTGTGTACAATGACTCCCTGTCCACTTATCCCTCTGTTCTCCATTCTACTTCTTTATTTCCTTCATATCCTCTCCTCCTGTCACATCTGCAGTTGCTCCAGACACCATCAACAACCTCGTGAAGACGTGTCACGAGGAACAGAAGAACTTGCACTTCTATGCCCCAGAATATGGAGGTAGACCTGACTGAAATTACACTTTACATGTATTTCTATTTAAACTGAAATCCACATGTTTCTTACTCTTTAAGTAAACTGGATGATACGAATCATTTGATATCATTAAAGGATATAACTGCATTAAAGGACTCATACATCCATTACAAGTGTTTAGCTTCAGACAAAATGGCAGCTTAAATCAACACAGCATAATAGATGGTATTGTACAATTTCTTAGTATCATGAATACAACAGATATGTCTGAATGTTGACTGAACTCAATACGCTCAAAGGCTTTGTTCCAATAAAATAATCAAATATTGATTTATATCAGGAAAAAATCTAATTCAAAGACGAAAAAAACAATATATAATAGAAGAAGTGAATATCCGTACATATTTCTTCTTTCTTTTCCTTCTCTCATTGTAGCTGACGATATCACCACGGCGGTGGACATCTACTCGTTTGGCATGTGTGCCTTAGAGGTGAGATGGGACCTATGATACATGATAGAATAACATAAGCCCTTTCTTAAAACAATATGCTAATGTGTGTGTCGGTGTGTTTCAGATGGCGCTCTTGGAAATCCAGGGGAACGGAGAGTCCTCTTTAGTTTCTCCGGAAGCCATCAAGAATGCCATACAGTTTCTGGAGGACCCACTGCAGAGGGTGAGAGAAAGAGTGGAGTGTGTGTTTGTGTTCATGAGTATCCTGAGAGATGTGTGTGTGTGTGTGTGTGTGTGTGTGTGTGTGTGTGTGTGTGTGTGTGTGTGTGTGTGTGTGTGTGTGTGTGTGTGTGTGTGTGTGTGTGTGTGTGTGTGTGTGTGTGTGTGTGTGTGTGTGTGTCAATGTTTATTTGAAAGTCCCATTTGTGTATAATACAAGACTTTGTGACCTTTATGTTTGTTTTTGTAGGAGCTAATCCAGAAGTGTCTCGAGTCTGATCCAAGTATGAGACCTACAGCCCGAGAGCTGCTGTTTAACCAAGCTCTGTTCGAAGTACCGCTGCTAAAGCTGCTGGCGGCTCATTGCATAGTCAGCCACCACCGTGAGTCTTTAACACACACATACAGAATACACAGAACAACAGATTGAGTCATTCTGATTTTATTAGCATGCTATGGTTAATAAGAAGACCATCCGTTGTATTTGCAATGGACAGGAGGGTTATGTGGAATGTAAAAGTAGTAGTCATAGTTTCCTCACAGCAACAAGCGGAAGTTTGGAAAAAGTGACTAAGTGGGGAAGAAAGTGGAACACCCTGCAGGCTTAGGAGCCAGAAATGATTCAGGGTTGGTGAAGCCAACAAAACATCATTTATAAAAAATGTACTTTTGAAATAATAAAGGAATAAAGTGTCAGAGAAAATAGGGCTGTGCGATTATGGCAAAAATCATAATCGCGATTATTTTGGTCAATAATTGATATCACGATTATTAAAAACGAATAATAATAATAACTTTTATTTATATAGCGCTTTTCAATAACCCAAAGTCGCTTACAAAAACAATTAAAAGTACAGAAAGGGGGTGAACAGGCAGAAGACAACATATTGGACAAGAAAATTGAACATGAACATTACATTCATGTAATGTTCATGTTCAATTTTCTTGTCCAATATGTTGTCTTCTGCCTGTTCACCCCCTTTCTGTACTTTTAATTGTTTTTGTAAGCGACTTTGGGTTATNTTTCTACTGCCACAAGTTTAAACAGATTCAAAAATCGACTTTGCCCTGAAAAAACGATCCAGAATGTAATTATAATAAATAAGACATTTGTCCAAAATAGAGGTGCAAGGTTTTCATGAATCTCACTCTCACTTCCCAGCATGCCTCAGTGCACACATATGGAGAGGAAGTGTGTATTAAAACTGTGTGTGGTCAAATCTGAGAGTGAGGTGGACTTGAAGTCATTCATACGGACATAACTCCATCATTTATCATCCCCTCGAGTCAAATATAATTATAGCATTAACTCCAAAACCAAGCTGTGAACCTAAACTATTCAGATTTTAAAAAATTACCACACTTTAAAAAAACCTTACTACTTTGAAGGGGTTTGTCCAAAAAATACACAAGCGTCAACAATAATCCTTCCCTCTCCAACTCCATAAGGAAAATATTATACCCATTCTTGTATTGCTATTTTACACACATTCAGAAGGGCTTTTATGTACACACACACACACACACACACACACACACACACACACACACACACACACACACACACACACACACACACACACACCTAATCCTCTTTGCTACCCCCTAATCTCCCTCATGCCCGACACGCCTGCCAACAATATCAAATGATCGTCTAATTGCAGGAGCCATTGTAATATTAACTGGTTGGAAATGTCAAAGGTCGTTTGAAAAGCTTGTTGATTAAAAATGTCCTGCCCTTAAAGGTGGGGTAGGTAGTTCACTTCAGAAACACTTTGTGTTATATTCCATGGAATGCTCTTAACATCCCGATAGCAATGAATATCTGAAATGCTTTGACAATAAATACATAAAAAAATGTTATCTGTGGAAGCCGTGGCGCTGTAAAAACCACGAGCAGTTATTTTAGCAGCTAAAGTAATTGGATGGCCTACCTGCCTGTCAGCCTTCCATCTGTGCACAAACTTATCTCATTGGTCTTGTGCGCGTTCGTGTGTGTTGGAGGAGGGGCTCTGTAAGGAAGTCTGAAGGAAGGGGCAGATTTTTTCCGGTTGTGTATTTTCTAATTCTAGCGCACTTGAGCTGGTTTCTCCATTCTTACCTACCCTACCTTTAAGCACCCAATTGAGCACCTCAATTCATCCTTAGTGTAGTTCTGATGAAATACAACTTGACTGTGAGCATTAAAAGAGCTAAGTGGACATTTTTGATGTGGGTGCGCTATAAATAAATGAGTGACTGTATATTGAAACAGACAGATGATTAAGAGTCAGTGTGTTATAGGATAGGTGGACTTACGAGATAACATGTCACAGCTTAGATGTCTATTCAGTTTATCATCCAGTTTCAGCAGCAATGTTAGCTAAAAAAGAGAGAAAGACAACAACAGATAACATTATTATTATTATTCATTTCAGGGTTCATACACTTTTTCACCAATGACCTCTCCATGACCTTTACCTAATTTTCCATGACCAAAAAAATTACTCTGTCAGCGGTACCACTGAAAATGGTTTATTTTAACATGGAACAGGAAAATAATGTCTGCATATGAAACATGTTGTGCCTCTAAAACAAATCAATAGGCTTACTAGCTTCTACAGACTAAAGCAAATCAAATCTCTCACCAGCAAAAACACCTCGTCAGTTAAATGCCATTTGAAGTTTCATTACTATACAATACAGTATTTATTATCATTATAGTATTGCTATTTTGGTGATTAGATAAAATATAAATTATATTTGATGCAACTTTAGTTACATTTCCATGACTTTTCCAAAACTTTGGGAAAAATATTGTTTTCCATAACTTTTCCAGGGCCTGGAATTAGCATTTTGAATTTCCATGACTTTTCCAGGTTTTTAATGACCGTAAAAACCCTGCAATTTACTTCTGTATGGTAGAAAAAAGTGATCTGGAATTATATCAAGTTGTTACTCAATGGGGGAAACACATTTTTGAAACGTTTAATTAGTGAAACAATAAAAGATGAACTTATAAATTCTACTGCAGAGACTTACATGATACCTTGCTCCCTCCTCGACAGATTCAACGTTACACTGCATGTGAATGACCTGCAGAAGAAGTTAGGGAGTATACATATGAGCAGTTGGCAACTAATGTTGAGATTTCACAACAGTTGTTTACTCCAGAAGAAATACAGTATACCTATGTATTGATCCTACTGAAGCCCTGAGGTGAAAGAGAACACAAATTCTGGTTAACCATTTTTTTTAAGTCTCATCTAATTGATTTAGTTCTGTGTTTTTGTAACTTAAAAACCGGTGAAAAAAAGGTCCCTTTTTTCTGCTATAAGATAAACAATAAAGATTTACCGAGATATTGATATAGATAGAGAGGAATGTCTTTTTCACATTTGTATTCCCGCTCATCAGTAATGCATTAGAGAAATCAATTAGAAATGAATCACCAAAGATCTCCCTTGCATTTGAGTTTTGATATAACTGAGTGACTCAACCAGAAATCAGGATTGTCTGTTGAGGAATGTCGCCATTGTTGAGTGTTTTTTAACTTTTGTAATATGCAATATAATCTCCTGTACGTACCCGCCGTGTCTCCAATTCTGTCGGTTCAGGGGTGGGGGATTTGACCAAGGGGACGACAACGGGAGATTTAACCGTCTCCTGTTGAGGCTGATGAGGAGAGGGCACCCCAAACGCCGTCATCGGATAAATACCGTTTCTGATCCAGAGAGAAAGGGAGGAAGAAACAAAGGCAGGTGGAGAAAGGGAGAATGAGAGAGGAGAGAGAAAGAGGAGATGGAAACGATAATGGAAATTAAGAAATGTTTTAATATATAGACTTTGTTTTCCTCTCCTTATAGTCAACATTTTTAAAGTGAAAAATGTGTTCCACCAAACTAACAAATTAGAAAATTAAGTATTTCCTCTTGATTCTTTAAAAGCTTGGTCTACCTGTGGCCATGATTACATATCAACGAAGGATAAATATTATAACATTAGTACAAATACAAATATGTGAGCAGGAAAAACATGAAGCAGAGATGGAGACCTGCAGAACGGAATGAAGAGTGGCCAAAGATCATGAGGAAAAAGTATTTTATATTTAAATAAACCCAAAAGTTTGAAAAGTGCATGACAAATGTTTAAGTAGGGTGCTGGATTCAGATAGAGAGGCGAAGTCCCTCCCTTTCCAGGGGAGCTCCATGGGACCTTATTTCGGAAAAAGTATTGAAGTCAATGGCGAGAGAAAGATTCTCTTTAGATCCCGTTTGAATTGTGCCACGAATTACACATATGATGTTTGTCAATTTAAAAGATCATTTTGCAAGTAAAATAATTAAAATGTGTCGTAAAACTGTGAAGTAACACATTTTTGTGTGTGAAACCGCTCAATGAACTACATCTCCCGTCTCGCTCCAACACCAAGACGGCTGTCACGTTGGCACATTTCACTTCTTTCTTTCAGAATGAGGCGAAAAGTATTAAAAGAGGTGAAAATCACTCCAAGTCTGGGCATGTTGAGAGCTGTGCATACACACAAGGGGAGTTAGTCGGTTCCGTAAGAGCCAGCAAGCGGGACCGGGATTCTGGGATTTGTAGTCTTTCTAGTTGCGTATTTTTTTGAAATGGAAAGTATTTTTTAAGATTGACAAACATCATATGTGTAATTCGTGGCACAATTCAAACGGGATCGAAAGATACGTTTTCTCTCTCCATTGACTTCAATACATAATCTTTCTGAAATAAGGTCCCATGGGTCGGAAGTAGATGGGCGAGACATCACTAAAAGATGATGGCAGACACACACTAGTCAGATGGTCCTATACTGCTCCCCTGTGGCCAGATGGAGTTTTCTTTGGGGCCTAAATACATTGAGAGTAACTAAGCTTGTTCACGCTGTTGCTGTTCTCCGCTGCCTCTTACCTCACATCCTCCAGGAATTTATCAAGCTCCAAAGCAGGAAAATGGGAAAGCCTACAGAAAACACAAACAACAGTTAAAGGTCTTTACACCTCAAATGTATATACGTAGGTTATATTCACAATTTCAGGATTTACTATGTATAGAAAAACCCAGTAGTAACAATGACTGTTAATATAATAACCTATTATTTGTCTTTGTCCTATCCTATTAAATTAAGACATGTTCCTGTACCAAACATATTCAGACTGAAAAAACGACATGAATGCTGTTGACACTCGATAGTGGACACTTACTTGAGCTGAATGCCTTCTTTCTTCTCGGCGATGACCAGGTTAGGATCCAGGTTCTTGGTCATCTCCTCCAGGGCATTTTCAGGAATCATGTCTGGACAATAATAAACATTTAAGAATGAATGATGTGATGCTGGTTGTTAAAATACATCCCTTTAAAACTAAATTTCTTTCATAGGTAGTATTTGATCTGATGATATGTGAAAGGTAGCAAGTCTTGTGAAGGGATAACACACTTTGAGTTACATTTGTGTGTTTATACGTGTTGGATTGCATAGTTTCCAAATGTGATTTAGTTTGAATATTGTGTTTTATTGATGTTCTAGGTCAAGCTGTAGATGTAATGACAGTATTCACCAGTGCAAGGTAAATATAGAACAACACCAGTAAAAAAAACGATATTTAAATCTGCATCGTTGATTGCTCTGTCCACTTGGATGCACAGACTCCTCAGACTAACAATGTTCTCTTAGGGCTGTGCAATTAATCACATTTTAATCTCGATTACGATTTTGGCTTGCAACGATTAGGAAAACAACGTAATCGAAATAAAACGATTATTATTTTTATTTAAAAAAAAATGTAATTGTTTTTTTTTTATTGGTTTTTCAGTTCAATTATACTTAAAGTTCAGGGTCATCAACTGTTAAAAACATACTGTTCACATTTTATTTTTCAATAAATGGATGTTTTCAAAGTAAAGGGATAATCGCTCTCGACTGGCTCACCTCCTACCTCACCGATAGGCAACAATTCATCTCCCTCTCTGGCCACACATCCGCCCTCTCCCCAGTCACACAGGGGGTCCCCCAGGGCTCAGTCCTCGGCCCCCTCCTCTTCATCTGCTATCTTTTCCCCCTTGGTCACATTATTCGCAACCTCAACCTTGATTTCCACTGTTACGCCGATGACACCCAGATCTACATCACCACCAAATCCCCTCACAACCCTCCCCTCACCCATATCGAAACCTGCATCTCTTCAATAAAAACATGGCTGACTCACAATTTCCTTAAACTCAACAGTGATAAAACAGAGCTACTCATCATAGGCACCAGATCAACCCTCAATAAACTCAGGCTCTCCTGACGGACGAGAGGTGGTGGTAGGTGTCACAGGTCTCCCTGAGGGACAAGAGGTGTGAGTGTCACAGGTCCTCCTGCCGGACAGAGGTGGTGGAAGGTGTCACAGTCTCTGAGGACAAGAGGGGTGGTGGAAGTGCCAGGTCTCGCTGAGGACAGAGGGTGGTGGAGGTGTCACAGGCGTCCCTCGGCTGAGGACCAGAGGGTGGTGGAAGTGTCACCCAGTCGTCGCGAGAGCGCCCAGAAGGGTGTGAGTGTCCACACAGTGCTGCCTGACGGACAGAACAAGGCGGGTGGTGGGACAAGTGTCCACAGGTCCTCTGAGGACCAAGAGCGGTGGTGCGAAGTGTCCCGTCAGGTCTCCCGTGAGGACGAGAGGGTGGCGGGGGAGGTGCTCATAGGTCTCCTGAGACGAGAGGGTGGTGGAAGTGTCACAGGTCTCCGGCGCAGACGAGAGGGTCGGTGGAAGTGTACTCAGGCGTCCTCCCATGAGGACCAGAGGTGGGGGAGGTGTCATAGGTCTCCTGGGACAGAGGGTGGTGGAGGTGTCACAGTCTCCTGAAGACAGAGGGTGGTGGAAGTGTCTTCAGGTCTCCGAGGACCGTAGAGGGTGGTGGCAGTGTCACAGTCTCCTGAGGGGAACAAAGAAAAGAAAAAGGGGTGGTGGAAGTGTCCTCAGGTCCCTCCTGAGGACAGAGGGTGGTGAGTGTCGCAGGTCCTCGCCTGAAGGACAAGAGGGTGTGGAACGTGTCTCAGGTCTCCTGGGACGAAGAGGTGGTGGAGGTCGTCGGCCGAGGTCTCTGGGGACAGAAGGGTGGCTGGAAAGTGCGTCTCGAGTCTCCTGATGACCAGAGGGATGGGAAGGTGTCGCCAGTCTCCTGAGGACAGCGGGTGCGGGGAGGTGTCACGGAGGTCTCCTGAGGGTCCTGTCGTCGAAGGAATGTCAGACAAGTCGAGAGAAGGACGAGTCGTCGGCTCTACGGACGCACGGGCGTCGCCGTGTGGTAATCGTTTTACCCGATTACGGTGTGTCCCTCAGTTTCTTCCAGGACTTCCTCGACGGCGGAGACGGGGGGGCCCCGGCTGTCTGGAGTCCAAGAGGAGCTGCGTGCCTTTCTCGCATCCGCGCGCGCCCACACCGAGGGAGAGCGGAACACACAACTTTATGAGGAAAAAGACGACCTCCTCTGACGTCCAGACAGCGCCCCCGTCTCCCGGGTGAGGAAGGCTGGAAGACAACCTGAGCACGAACACGTAATCGGAAAAGACTACAACGCACACCCCGACGACCGGCGTCGGTCGTAGAGCCGACGGACTGTCCTTCCTCTGACTTGTCTGACCATTCCTTCGAGACAGGACCCCTCACGGAGACTGTGACCACGCTCCGCCGCCACCCTCTGTCGCGCCCAGGAGACCCTGCGACAACTTCCCCACCCTCTGCGCGTCAGCAGGCACGAGGCGAGCGATTCCACAACTGCGTCCTCAGGAACCTGCGACGACCTCCACCACCGCTCTGTCGCCTCAGGAGACGCTGAGACACTTAACCGACCACCCTCTGTCCCAGAGCTGCGACCGACCTGCCACCCACCCTCTGTCCTCAAGAGACTGAGAAACGGACTTCCCCACCCACCCCTCTGTCCTCAGGAGACGCTGTGACCACCGTACCCACGCACCACTCGTGTCCTCAGGAGACCTGAGAATCTTCCACCCACCCGTCTGTCTTCAGAGACCGTGACCGACCTACCACCACCTCTGTCCTCAGGAGACTATGAACACCCTCCCCCACGACCCTCTGTCCCAGGAGACGCTGAGACGACTCGACTTCACCCTCCTAGTCCTCAGAGACGCTGTGACAACTTCACCCACCCCGACTGTCCTCAGGAGACTATGACACGCTCCCGGCCACCCCCTCGTCCTCAGGCGAGGACCTTGAGACACTTTCCACCACCCTCTGTCCTCAGGAGACCTGTGACCACTTCACAGCCACCCTACTGTCTCAGGAGACCTGTGACACTCCACCACCTCTGTCCTCCAGAGACCCTGTGAACACTTCCAGCCACACCCCCTCTCTCCTCAGGCACCAACACAGGACCACGCTCAGCGCACCCTCTGGTCGTCGAGAGAGCGCTGAGACGACTCCACACCACCCTACTGTCGCTCAAGGCAGACCTGTGACACCCTGGCCGACCACACTCTGTCCGGAGGCGAGGAGGAGCGCGATGGGGAGGGACCACCGCGCGAGCCACGCGCGCTGCGCGGGGCGGGCGGGCCTCGAGGAGGACCGGACAGCGGCGTCTCCACCACCCCTGCGGGGTCGCGCGAGGAGGAGCCGAGACAAAGCGGGCCGAGGCGGGCCCACCTCTGCGGTCGGGCAGGAGGAGCGGCGAAGACAGCTTCCATCGCAGGGGGGTGCCGCTGTCCTGCAGGAGGGACGCTGGGACACTCTGTTCCACTCCACCCCGTCTGGTCCGTCACGGAGGACGCTGGGACGGCGCTGCGTCGACGGCGTGGGAACCTCTGTCCGGCAGGGATGACCGTGTAGACATTGGCGGCGCGAGGTGCCAGCGCGCCGGTGGCCTCGAGGAGGGGACTGCTGGTGTACGACGGCTGCGTCGTGGGCGGCACCTCGGCGCAGGGGACGAGAACGCTGGTCGCACCAACGCTCGGTGGTGGTGCAGGAGACACTTGTGGGCGCAGCGGCGAGCCCTGGCCGGGCGTGCGAGAGGAGCGGGGTGACGACGCTGGCGCACGCACCGGCGTCTGTGCTCTCGGGGAGACCTGGATGGACACCTCGCCCGCACGCCTCCTGTCTCAAGGGAGGAAAAGGAGGAGCTGGAGACACTTCGCGACGTGGGCGACTCGGTCTGTCGTCAGGAGAGCCTGTGAGGCAGCGTCGGCGACGTCACCCCTCTGTCCGTCAGAGACCTGGTGACGCGGGGCGCGCACGCGGAGGCCGCTCTGGCCTCGAGGAGCAGCCGTAGACACTTCCACCACCCGCCTGTCCGTCGAGAGACCTGTGGCGTGGGGGTGGACACGGTTGGGCTCTACCAGCTCTGGTCGCGCGAGGGAGCCTGGGACACGCTGCCACGGTGGGACCGTCTGTCCGTCAGGAGGAGCCTGAGGACATTGGCCAGGGGGGTCGACGACGTGGCTCGTGTGCGCGGCAGTGATGACCGTGTGGACACTCTGCACGGCAGCGCACCGCCGTGCTGTTGCCGCGAGACCTGTGGACGACCGTGCCAGGGCCGGAGCCTGCTCTGTCCGGGGGTCGAGAGGAGCGCGGGTGAGCACGCGGGGTGCCACGGCACTGGCTCTGTCGTCAAGGGAGGACGCGTGAGACAACCTCCAGCGGCAGCGCGCTTCTGGTGCGGGTGGGAGGATAGGAGGATGCGAGGCGTGGCGCACGGGGGGCACTGGCGGCTCTGTCCTCAGGAGGACGTGTGGGACAGGCGGGGCTGGGCCATGGCGCGAGCCTCTGGTCCTCGAGGAGAGCTGTGACGACGCCCGACGCGAAGCGCGTCGGGCGCGTAGGAGACCGGAGACACGTGGGCAGGCGGCACCTGGCGAGTCGCTCAGGGGGACCTAGACAGCGGGCTGCCGACCAACCTGCCTGGTGCTGAGGGAGAGCACTGTGGCTACACGCCGTCGGCGCGTGCAGAGACCTGGTGATGGACTGGCTGCCGACGGCAAGCCCTCGGTGCGCTGCGTGAGCCTCGGTTGCGAGCAGGAGGGACGACGCGGGGTAGTACGAGGGTGGGGGGAGGGGGCGCGGAGCGAGGGGTAGTGACACGTCGGAAGTCGCTGGCGGATCGAGCGGGGGACGAGGGTGGTGCGGCTGCGCGTGGTGCGTCAGGGAAGAAGGACGTCGCAGTCTGGAAATGTGTTGGTCGTGACGAGGAATGCTCGTGGGGGGGGGGGGTGAGGTGGGTGGGGGCGGAGAGGTGTGGGGAAACGACAATTATGGTTTGGGGGCGAAAAACACGTTACACGAAATGTACGACGGGGGAGAGGCGGGAGGTGGAGGGGAGGGGAGGATGGGAGGGCGAGTGGAGTGGGGGAGGAGGATGGGGAGTGGAGGGGGGGGAGTGGGGAGGGGATGGGGGCCAGGAGACTCTGTGGGAGGAGTGGAGTGAAGGGATGGGGAATAACATGCTAATGGTATATACGCGAATAGCAAGTAGATTGAAAAAAAACTGGTTGCGTTAGTCGAACGTGTAGAATTGTCAGGAGAAGGCGCGTATGGAGCGCGTAGTGTGCGGTCCCGGAGCTCGCCAGTGCATCCGATAGCAGGCTTAAGAGAGTACCGCAAAAAGCTTAGTTTAAGAGTATTACTCGGGTAATGTAGTTACTAAGCGAAAAGTTTGGGGAGTGACGTAGATGTACGGTACATCGTGAAGTCGTCCACTACTGCGTCCGTCTTCGGTTGGAACTCATGTACTTGAAACTGCTACTTGTCGGTTATCCGGTGGTCCCTCCTGTCGTGTGCTGGCCCGTTCTGTGTTCTTTGTACGCTCGAATGCAACGAGAGTACGGTACGAGTACTTATTCTCTAGCAGTCGCGACACGCGCACTGGATATTCTCGTATGGTCGCACCGCGGGCCACACTCACTTCAGTTCACCCGGAACCCCATCAGACATTGCGAACTTCCGAACTCGCCTCTTCATCCATACAAAAGTCGACCCAAAACTTCCATCTGGTCACACCCTCTCCACGCGCCTGTCTAACGCCCCTCCCTCAAGGTCTCGCCGCACCGACTAGACCTCCTTACGAGACAAACGGTTTACAAAACTCAGAACTACCACCATGACACTCCCTCTCTCACCTCCTCCTGCCCTCCCGAAGCCCCCAAACATCCCCTACTCCTCCAGTCTCTCCATCCCCCCGATCCACCACTTCCCGAAAATATCCACTCCTCATCACAAACTTCTACTACGCAAACCAAACTACCCCTCGGTCACTTCTCTCGCCCTCTTGCCCTCACTACACAAGTGCCCAGGCCCACACCCACTCCTCCGCCCGTCGTCTCAAAACATGGTAAACCTCAGATACCTCCTTACCCTCCTCTACGGTCACTCCTCCCGCAACGTTATCAGCTCCGCCCCTCCACTACTTCCGTACCTACTCCCTAAGTCGTCGTGCCCCCCCCTCCATCACAAACTAAAACCGTTACGCCGCCTCCACCTTCATCCTCTAGAACTACTACCTCGACTGTACCCCCAGTTTCCTCTCCCACCCCAGGTCCTATTGCGGTTCTAACGCACGGTCCCCCCTCCCCCACTACCAGCTTAAGAGTTACCACTCACTTTA